TTATTATTTGAAATTTTTTTATTTATTTAAACAATATTGCACATTGTTTATATGTACTGTATTGTACAATATTTCATTTGTTTGTTTGCATTTATTTTTGTTGTTTGTTTTGTTTGGATTTATAAATAATTGATATGTAAATAAATATGATATAGGCTACTTTTTCATATGATGGAGAGTATTTGTTCAGTATAGTGTTAACAACATAAATTGATTCTCTGTTAAATGGCCAATTTTGTTTTTATTTTGTGAATGAATTATCACTCTGTATTGCAGTGAAAATTCGTATTTGAACATGAGGTTTAAATACCAATACCAATTGTGTTGCCAAAGAACACAGTTATTATTATTACTTATTTGAAGAATTTATATTTATTTTTGCACATTGTTTATATGTACTGTATTGTACAATATTTAATTTTTTGTTGTTTGTTTTGTATGGATATATAAATAATTGATATGTAAATATGATATACTTTTTCATATGATGGAGAATATTTGTTCAGTATTCTTATATAAAACGTTAGTAATATTAACAACAAAAATAGATTCTCTGTAAACTGACCATTTTTTTGTGATGTGAATGAATTATCGCTCTGTATTGCAGCGAAAATTTGTATCTTAACATGAGGTTTCATTAAAACAAACTTGTACGAAGGTATATGTCATATGTTGCAAACATGAAGTGTGGTGAGTCCTTTACCGCAGTTTTACGGTAACTGTACTGGTACCATCAAAGTAAGGGTTGAATGAAATATAATCTCAGCTCCTTAAAGTAATTAATATTAAATTGGTTAACATATTTAACTGTACTTAACACATAAATGTAATTTGTCAAACCTTCGTGAAAATGTTCTATGGTTAGTTTAAACTTACCACTATGTTATTAACTTACTATGTTATTAACTTACTTACTAACTTACTATGTTATTAAGTTTAAACTTTTTATTTTCTTGCTTTGGTTTTGGCCTTTTGCCTAGCCTCTTATTTCAATCTATTATCCTACAGTAGGTTTTGTCTTGTAAAATTAAAAGTAAGGAGAAATTACTTTTAGTTATGTTTATTCTTATTCATATTTGTTTGTTTTAAGAATTAATGAATAAAAGAGTTCATTTTAGTACAGGATAAATCATTCAGTTGTTTTTATTCCAATAGATCTTAGTTATTGCCAATTGCCAGGGAAGATTTGGGCAAACAAAACAAAACATACATACAATTCTTATAATTCTTATTCTTTGTTTTACATTTATATGTCATATTTCTAATTCATCATGTTATAATATTAATAAATTATAAAACCATTTTATATTTTTATTTTATTATTTACAAATCAGACCCCTAATAATAAAAAATATTAAACTACAATTAAGAAGTAATATTTTATTAACATAGTAACATCTTGGTCATTCTCATTCTGTGATATTGTTATTGTTGGGGGCGGGTTCATAGGGGAGAATGAGACAATTTTACTATGGAGTGAAAAAGAAATTAATACTTAAATTTACAAAATATATCTTAAAATATAGGAACATGTCAGAATAATACCAATTTATTAGATGAGTGAGTATATACAAAGTTTCTTATGGTTGAGTCCGTGGGTTTGGTGGAGATGTCTGGTGAGTGGCTGTAGACTGGAGCGTGGAGTGAGATCACCAGGGGCGGACAGTCTTTGAAGGGGCGAATCTTCTCCAAGAGTGGTAGATAGGATATTCCGTAGCTGTTCAGGAGGTCTTCCAGTTACAACACTTTATATTAAGTATTTTATTTTCACAATTACATTACACTCTCTAGCATTTAGAAGGAAGAGAGATCTTGAGCAAATAATTACATGTTAAACGTTATTAGTTTACTCCAACAGTCAAAATATAATCCACTATATACATATTTAAAAAGAGAATAAACAAGTAGGACATGCTGACTGTGGGTTAACTAATACAAGAGTGGACAGTACAGTCTGGAAAAGTAGGTCAGTTAAGATATATAAGCTATCTTTGGGAATCCTTAGTTGAAAATTCAAATATAGGCTTAACCAAAGCTTAAACCAAACAGTTATTGCTTTACAGCACTTAACATTTCAAGAATCCTCTCTTGACCAAATTCTAAATAATATAAATGATGACATATTATGTCTTAAAGATTGTCGAGTTCCGAAAGACATTGTCTTTCGGAACTGGTTAAAATATTCAGAATCGATAACAGCTGTAAATATGAGATTCGGATTCGATCCGGGTTCGATAACAGCTGTAAATTTGAGATTCGGATTCGATCCGGATTCGGTAATGGCAATAAATTTTAGATTCGGATTCGACCCGGAACTAATTTAAGTATTCGGATTCGATCCGGATTCGGTAAATTCTGTACAGCTATGATTCGGATTCGGATTCGAACCAAAATTTCTGGATTCGCACAGCCCTGAAATCATTATTCGAAAATGAATCATGGCTGGAAGTTTATCAGGCACCAGTAGACAAAAAATTTGATATTTTTTTGGACAGCTTTATGTACTACTTTAACATAGCATTTCCAAAAAAAATATAAAGAAAAAGGTTTATCAGAATAATAATTTGGTTATCGGCCCAACTAAAAGAAGAAATGAGTTAAATAAAAAAAAAAAAAAACGAAAGACATTAGGAAAAAAAAGAACAAAAAAATAGAACATATAAAGTTCCTCATACAATGGTCAAACAGAAAAAGATTAAATTTGTGTCTTACAGAGATTTGAAAAATATCAACATAAAACAGTTCGTTGAACTCGCATCGGTAGTTGACTGGGACTACATTTCATTCATCTTTTACTTAGCATAGGAATAGGCCTAGGCTTACACTACATCAACTAATGATAATATTTTACACCATTCTTTTATGAGAGCTTATTGAATATGACAAATACCAGTACAGTCTACTGCAGTTTAAGTTACCTAATGGAAAATTACCTTTTTTATGTTTTCCTAATCGATTATTATAAGTAAAATTGCATAATGGCGTTTTATTTTTGCGTAAATTTACTGTTTTCCCGTAAAAGGGTTTAAAAGTGGTCGATTCCAATTCTCAAAGACTTGTCATTTAAATGGAATACTGTTGTAATTTATGTTAAAGGTTGTATTATTGCCTACCAGTATTTCAGGATTTTCATTTTTCAGCTGCAATAAGAATGTTTGCTTCCAGGTTATACGTGAAGATGGCCAGTTGAGTATCCTTAAAAATTTTAACAAATTGAAAACCAAGTATGGGTAGGATTTGTTAATTCAATCCTTAATCGATGCCCATAAAGTAAGGATAGTCCACCAGTCAGATTAGATCAGACTTCGAAAAGGTGGACACTGGCATTCCACAGAACATTGAGCAGCAGCAGATCTTTTTTAAGCCTATACACTTAGGCCTATAGAGTCGATGCTTTCCACTCCATTGATGTTATCAGCCGCACCGATGGATCTCAGAGACGCACTCGACTTCTTCAAGTCCAATAACCCCACCTACACCAGAGTTGACGGCTTGTTGATGGAAGTACCTTATTTAATCACCATGTTTGAGGGAGTAAAATCTCCATACGGCGAGACAGTCGTTGTGATCCTGGAGGGTCAAGCCGGAGACGACTTTTATCCGCGTGCGTATCTACCAAGACGATTCAACGCTGCGCTGGCGCTGAGCAATACAGAAATCGACCCCTACAACAACGGGTTTGGTGACCGTCTTGGTTTGGTGACCGTCTTGGCTTGGTGAAAAGCACGCAGCCCGGGGAGGTAGCAGATACACACCATTGGAGTTTTTAAATATTTTCATGTAAAGCAAGAATCTGTTAGACATATGCAGCCTTTATACATTTTGATAGTTTTTGTAAGCATTACATAGTAACATTATAACGTATGCAATCGGTTGTATTTATTTACATGTACCTTAACCAAAATTATACTTTAGTTTTAAGGAAAGTGTTTGATCTCAATACTAAGAGTTTGAAGTGGTCACATCCTTTCTCTGCCATTGTGGCAGGACTATCAGGTAGTGGAAAGTCAGTGTTTGTTTCGATCATGTAAGAGAAATGTGCGATACAAAATTTGTTAAGATATCCTGGTATTATGGTACTGGAGGCGGTGCAGGTAATACTTACGCTACCAAAATAAACTACATAGAAGGACTTCCTAATTTAGAAGACTTTGAAGGCAAAGATCCAACACTTGTGGTTATAAATGATATGATGTGTGAAGAAAAAAATGCAGTAGTTGATATATTTACCAAAGGATGTCGTCATAGGAATATAAGCGTATTTTTTATAGCTCGAGATATTTTTCACCAGTTGTAGTGGCAGAGAGATATCATTAAATGATCTTTATCTGGTTTGTTTTATAAGTCCTAGGGATTAAATGCACATTATAGGCAGATACATCCTGAAAATCCAAAGTTTATAGAGGAAGCATATACCAATGGTACAAGTAAGCCTATGATGAAAAGATTTTGTGTACATACAAAAAATGAGAGGAAATAACACCTCCATTCACTTTAATTGTCAACATGGTGTGCTTGAATTAGAAATATAAAACATAAATTAATTAAGTCTTGAGAACGTTATTATTAAACAAAATCTTTATCGTGATTTTGTTATTATATATAAAGTAAAATGAACGAAATGGAATATAATTATTTAATTTAATTTAGTTATAATAAGCATGAGCTTATTTGTATAAAAATTATTAATGATCTAGTAGGCCTTATAAACAAACAAGATAACAACAAAGAGGTGGGTTATATAGTTTACATACAAAGGATATAATATGATAGTTTATAATTTTGTAACAATAATTTATAATTCTTCTTCAAACACGAACATTTCATTCACTAGACGTGATTATAAATCTGCTCATGGATATAAATAAAGATCACAGTAAAAATGTGTTACCTGTAAGGCTGTTTTCTATAGAAAGTGTATGTGCGCTGGATGAACCTGCTCTGGGGTCTTGCGATTGACGTAATATTTTGATTTGTTTGACGTGGTTCTGCGGGAGGGGATGTCAATTGCTGCTGCCGTAAAAACCTTTGGAATACCCAAGTCCTCACTACAAGATAAGATCAAAGGTAAGTACGGTATCCACGCAAAGTCTGGTCGACCACATGTTCTGTCCAGTGAAGAAGAGAATTTGATAGTGCAGTGGATGGCTCAGATGGCTTACCGAGGGTTTCCCGTAAATAAAGACCAACTGATATCGTCGGTTACAAAATTTGAGAAAGACCTGTAAAGGATAAACCCATTTTGTCGCCTAAATTCCTGGGGAGAAATGGTACTCGTTGTTTTTGAAGTGGCACCCAAATAGTTTCTCTGCCCACATGCAACTCCTCCTTTTAGATGTACTTATTCCCCCACCTCTTTACCACACTCATATCTTCCCCCACTACGTCTATCTATATCCCCCACCACTTAGGGTGGGTATAAATGAGAGAGCATATTGGTTAATAACATCATTCTGTTGCCAGCCTGCAGAAAAGCAATGGACCGCTGCTTAAGAAAGACTACCAAGCCAATGAAGCCAGTGGCAGGCATCAAAAGATCTAAACTTCAGGAGGCGTTGACTGGAGGTATTAAGAAGACGAAATCATCAACTCCTTTTGAAACCCTTGTCAACAAGACTCTGTCGCAGCCGGGATCCTCTTCTTCTGCTTTGTCTGACGATGCAAAGAAAACAACTACAATATCTACTCAATCTTCCCAAGAGCCTGGATCTTCCCTTGCCACCAAGACTCTGTCGCAGCCGGGATCCTCTTCTTCTGCTTTGTCTGACGATGCAAAGAAAACAACTACAATATCAACTCAATCTTCCCAAGAGCCTGGATCTTCCCTTGCCGCCAAGACTCTTTCGCAGCCAGGATCTTCTTCTGCTTTGTTTGAAGATAGATTGAAGAAATCTTCTTCTGGTAACACTTCGTCGAAGAAACGGTCTGATTCATCGTCTTCCTCTTCTTCTTCTTCGTCATCATCTTCCTCGTCTTCTTCATCGTCCTCGTCCTCTTCTTCTACGTCATCGTCCAAAAATCAAACAATTAAGTCCCCTCTATCCATGCTTCTCTCTCCCATAATTCTCTTCCTTGCTATCTCCTATTAAATCTCCAGAAAAGCCATCCACTCCCAAACGTAAGCCGTCTCCAAAACCTCAACCACATAGCCTAACTCTTCCTAATTTAAATTCCTCCTCGAACCAAATGCCTGACATAGATTCTCCTGAAATTACCATTCCAAAACCCCCACCCAAATCCCTCCCTGCTGCACCCACCGTTGTTAGAAAACTCTTAACTAAAACTGAATCCTCAAAAGAATCCCTTCCCTCCCATTCAAACCCTTCTGAAAAATTGGTAAAACTCATGGCCAAACGACGAGCTGCATTTAAGCCCAAGCCACAATGTTCTTATATTTTCCAAAAAGGGGTGAAAAAAGGTGAGCGTTGTGAAAAGTCCTGCTTTTCTGATGCTAATGTGTGCAGCCTCCACACTAAGGGGAAAAGCAGGATGGTACCCACTCAACCTAAAATTATTAGCAGCAAACCTGTCGCTACCAATCCTCAGTCATTTGAAAGACCATCAATAATCGTCAAAAGCCAGGCTCAGGAAAAATCTTGTACATCTGATCCAACACCGAGCACCTCACGTGTTGTTGTGATAGACAAGATTTTGCCTAGCCAACCACGAACGTCAGGCTTTGCTTGACCCTGTCGTCCACCACAAATTCAAGCGAAAAAAACCAGAATTGATAGGCTACCCAAAAACCGTAAATTCGAAATTCTACTGATGACACCAAACGGTGAAGTCATTTTAAGAGAAGGACATGACAGGTTCCGACTTAAATTACCCAGAGGCATGACCATCCCGAATACAACCCACCGATACTATATAATTCGTGATCGGTCTTCGGGATGGGCATCTGTAACATTATAAATTGGTTTAGTTTCAAACTGATCTTAATTATCCTCTAAATTCTCCTTTAGTATGCAAAAATTGGGAACGCATTTGTTATAGCCTAACAAATGCGTTCCCAATTTTTGCATTTAAAGAGTGACCTTGAGATTTTGGAAATAGATTATTTTAATCAGAGATTTCCATCTAATTTACTCATAAAACATTAGAATCAAATTTGTCATATCCTAACAATGTGTTCCCAAAGTTTCGTGTATAATATTTTGACAAAGTTATTTTAGAAAACATATTGATTGTTCAGGTTGTCCAATATTACATCAACATTTTTCTATATTGTAAAATTAACTATTCTAAGGACATTTAAAAGATATATTATGTTTATCTCGTGTTTTGCAAAGATCTTCATTGCCATTCTGTATAAATTAAGTGTAACACTTTTAGGCTAGGCATATTAGGAATATAAGTGGCAGTTAGCGGAAAGTTTAGGTACAGTCCTAATCATCACTTGTCTTTATATTTTTTGGGTCGCTGAACACGAATATGAGGTTTGCTGACAGATATTTTGCCCGGAACATTGTTTTTTTTTTTTGTGAAAAACCTTAAAATCTTGGCACTTTTTTTGGTTTTTCGGGCAAATCTCTGTAAGTATGGGTTTTTGAGAAAATCCTGCTATGTAAAATTAAAGATGACAAAATTTACTACAAGTTTCCTATATATTGTTTGTTTCTACGACGAACCGTTTCGCCACTAGAGCACACTAAAAAAGGCCAGAATTACAAAAATTTAAAAACATTGCTAAATGCAGCCGTTTTACATTAGGTTTCCATGGAAACAACCCATGTTACGATAATTTTAACTATTTATTCATGATAACAAACTGAAACACACTTAAAAATACCCCCGCCACAGCAAACCTGCAGACTAGGCGAATTTCCATTTCCCTGATTGGATTTATACTAAAATGTCCCCTTAGAAATATCACATTTATTCCCCATTTAAATAAAAGTTTAACGATTACCTAGGTTTGATGCAACAGGGAGGGTAAAAAGGTGTTTTTTTTGTAAAATGTAATAATTTGGTATGAAATGAATGCATTTTCCAAATTTGATCAAAATATGTTCATAAACAAGCAAACTACAACAGTTTACTTAGTCTCCATAAGAATAAAATGAACATTTTAAATTTACAGATTTTTGAAATTTTCTCCGTAACCATTAGGCGCATAACAACGCTTTAATATACTAAATTATTTATTTTTTTAAGCTCTACAAAATGGTATGGAAAGAAATCGCTAAATTTTAAGTTTATAGGGTCAAAAATACGAAAAAACCAATTTTTACCCCATAAAACCCACCATAAATCCCTGTTCCCATAGTCCGATCATGCTGGTCGCGAACTCGTTCGAATAGACGTAGGTTTACACGTTTGTCCCGATTTTCATCAAAATCGGATGATTTTTGTCGAGTTCTCGCCCTAACGGACACATATATGAATTTTCTCTTGGGGCCTCAAAACGAAAAAGTAAATCGGTCCCGGGTCCAGGTCTTACCATGAGTAATACGGTAATAACTTATTCCCTATAGGGGAAATTCACTAATAAACTAACTAGTGTGTCTTCTGACCACAATGTGTTGAGGTATACGGGTAAGAATTCTCTACTTTCATCGCGTTATTCGCTATGGCAAGTGGACACGGTCTACTCGTCTGAATTTGACGTACCAAAGTTAAAAGTTATCTACAACTCTTTTATTGTATTTCATCCTTTTTTCTACAATCACTATAGCAGTCAACCCGGTGACCAGCAACATCCCTGTGCTGAGAAAATAAATGGGGGTTTTGTGGGAACGGCTAAATGTTCCAGCAGTCAGTCATACATCTTGGCATAGATTTTTCAAGTGTGTTTCAGTTCATTATCATGAATAAATAGTTCTAACTATCGTAACATGGGTTGTTTCCATGGAAACCCAATGTAAAACCTTTGTAAAACGGTTAGGGTTTATTTTCATTTTTGGTTTTGCCCAGCATGATCGGACTATGGGAACAGGGATTTATGGGGTAAAAATTGGTTTTTCGTATTTTTTACCCTATAAACTTAAAATTTAGCGATTTCTTTCCATACCGTTTTGTAGAGCTTAAAAACAATTAATTTAGTATATTAAACCGTTGTTAAGCGCCTAATGGTTACGGAGAAAATTTCAAAAATCTGTAAATTTAAAATGCTCATTTTATTCTCATGGAGACTAAGTAAACTGTTGTAGTTTGCTTGTTTATGAACATATTTTGATCAAATTTGGAAAATGCATTCATTTCATACCAAATTATTACATTTTACAAAAAAACACCTTTTTACCCTCCCTGTTGCAGCAAACCTAGGTACTCGTTAAACTTTTATTTAAATGGGGAATAAATGTGATATTTCTAAGGGGACATTTTAGTGTAAATCCAATCAGGGAAATGGAAATTCGCCTAGTCTGCATTTTTGCTGTGGCGGGGGTATTTTTAAGTGTGTTTCAGTTTGTTTATCATGAATAAATAGTTAAAATTATCGTAACATGGGTTGTTTCCATGGAAACCTAATGTAAAACGGCTGCATTTAGCAATGTTTTTAATTTTTTGTAATTCTGGCCTTTTTTAGTGTGCTCTAGTGGCGAAACGGTTCGTCGTAGAAACAAACAATATATAGGAAACTTGTAGTAAATTTTGTCATCTTTAATTTTACATAGCAGGATTTTCTCAAAAACCCATACTTACAGAGATTTGCCCGAAAAACCAAAAAAAGTGCCAAGATTTTAAGGTTTTTCACAAAATAACCAATGTTCCGGGAAAAATATCTGTCAGCAAACCTCATATTCGTGTTCAGCGACCCAAAAAACATAAAGAAAAGTGATGATTAGGACTGTACCTAAACTTTCTGCTAACTTTCCTAATATGCCTAGACTATTTATGATGTAACTCAATATATTTTCATAATCCTCAAAGGCATCTTGGTAAACAAACACAAAATTATAATGTTAAACCCACTTCCATATGGTAATTTTCAATGGATTGATCCAATATTATTAGGTGATGTAACAAGTATCCCAAAAAATGGAGACACCGGATTCATAATGGAGTGTGATTTTGAATACCCATCCACACTTCATGATCATCACTATGATTTACCTCTATTAGCTAAATCTGAAATACCACCAGACGGAAAACATCCTAAGCTGATGATGACGCTTAACCATTGCCCACCCATATAAGTTATTGGCGTCAAAATACCCTAAATAAACTGATGGGTCCTCCTTCTTGAAGTTTGGAATGTGTTTATTATTTGCTTTGACATGCCTTGTTACACTCTGGGTAAGTCCCCCACGGATACTAGATTCAATCATAAGCACCATATCAATGTCTGTTAACAGCTGTAACTACAGCATATTCTTCCACAGATCTCAGTAATCCTATCCATGACTTCCCGTCCGTCTATACATTTCCTGTCCCACGGTGGTGTAACGTTCAGCTGCCGATGCATCAATCGTGGAGAGAGACAGAAGACAATCTGCAAGCTATGTACTTTTTGACATCTGCACATCAGTCCACGTGGACTGTCTTAACCAATCAGAGAAGATTAACCAACGATCACACCCTCTGATTGGCTGTCTCTATAGGCGGACAGGGGGACGTCTATTCCACCAAAAACCCAGGAAAAGAGTCTCCAGGAAGTCTTCGGTCGGGTCACCGCGTTCGGGAGTCGAAGTTTTCGGTCGCGAGTGATTCGCGAGGTGAAGTGATATTTTAACCATGGTCTGTTGCCTTTAAAGGCAGATTAAAAATTATTTTGTGAAGTGTCCAGTGCATCAACCCAAAAGTATGTCAATTTTATAATTATTTAATCTAAAAATGTAAGTCCTGCTCGCTTACTCAGGGATAATTAATTTAAGGCTTTAGAAGTTAGATTTTCAAACTTTGTTTTAATTCTATTCAATTCACTTCCTTATTTTTGAAGGTTATTTAATATTTTATTTTTTTGTTTTACATTTTTAATTCATATTAACTCCAATTACCAATTTATTTGTTAGGATAAAGTATAATTTTACCTTATTCATTTGTCTATTCACTGTGCTGGTTCATTTCCCCTTGTTTAACTGTATTCGATTTATATATTATCATTATATTTTGTTTGATTGACTTTAGCTTCTCCTCTTTTTAATAA